TATAAGAATGTAACAACCAGGGGACTATGTTTACTTGTTGATACTGGTCTGCAAATGGCTACCAGTCTGTGACAAGATAGTACAGAAGCAGAACAGAAGCAGTCAGAGACTTTCATAGTCATTTGACGCCCAGGTCTGTGATCACTGGACTTGTCTTGTTAAATTGTATGCAGACCAGTTTGGATGTCATCAGACTTTCATCAGAATCACGCATAGTGTACCCTGCACTCCAGTCATGCACAGTGGGACCGTGGACTGGCCCAGGACACACTAGGGAGATAAGGTCCTTCACCACATCTCTGAAAAGAAGCCAGGTGAATTACCTGGTTTTATAGCCCAGTAGTTGTAGTTATGTTAAAACATTAATGATGTTGTCATAAAAAGCTGTTTCTGACTTCCTGCCATCACATACTCTCTGTGTTGTTGATTTGAGAAGGACTGAATGAGCCGCAGTCCCTCAGTCAACCAAGCATAGTTATAACCTGTGTGACAGTGTTTTTCTCTATTTAAAACTATCTGGCTTTGCATGGCTATTTAACTTGCTCCTTTGGCCTCAATATTATCCTGTAATCAAATGAGCTAATTAAGTTGTTTTCTGTCTGCTGATCAGAGTATGAAAGCTTGAAGGTGACTCTGACCATCCTCTGATTCAACTTACTCATTTTTCAGAGGCAACCAAGGCTCAGAGAGGTTAAATTATATGTCCTCGTAATACAGTTATTTAGAAAAAGAATTGGAACTAAAACTTTAAGATCCTTTACTCCTAGGTCATGGTGTATTTCTACTTTACCTTGAAGTTCAAAAAAATCCTTTGGGATTTTGCAGTATCCAAGGTATATTTCTGCTGTAGCAATTTATGTACCTCTATTTCATAAAGGACCTAGAATGAACAGATTTTGTTCACCAAATAATTACAGATGGTTTACATTTAAGAAAACTCAATGTTTGAAATTATGAGCAAGGGAAACAGCAGAGGTATTTATATGTAAATATTCACATCTATAATATGTACATATGTTACATTTGAATATTGTATTTATATATACATGAAATACTCATATTTATAAATATATAATGATAGCAAAATAATGTACTTATTTATGAAGTCCTATAACAATACTTGTTCTGAGTGGAAGGCTATTGACTACCATTCATCTAGTTCAGTCGCAAAATGAGGATAAAGCTTCACATAAAAGTATGTATTAATGAAAAAAATAGAATGCAATTTAGGATGTATTGATTCACATACACATTCAGAAATATATTTATTAGAGAAATGAGATGTCTTTTTACTTATGAATTAAAACAGGTTAGTGATCGAGAGTAGGAGAGTTCATTTCTTCCCAAATATCATCCTTAACTGAGCAGGTTGCAGTGTGGTTTAACTCTGGTGCTGGCAGACTATGACCCATAGACCGAATCCTGCAGCCGCCTGTTTTTATCAAGTTTTATTGGCACACAGCCATGTTCCTTCATTTACTCTCCTCTGTGGCTACTTCCATAACATAACTTCAGGTTTGAGTAGTTGGGACATATGCTTTATGGTCTGCAAAGCCTAAAATATTTACTCTCTGACCCTTTACTGGCCAAGCTCTGGTCTGGATGCGTATCTGTTCCATAACTCTGATTCTAATACAATCAGGCAAGTTGTCTTTATTTGGAATAACACCTAGCTGAGTTTTGATAAGGAAGGAAAGAAGTGAACTTTAATCCTCTTGTCCAGAAGCCTGTTTTAAAACCTTGTCACCCGCTGCCAGTTTTCAGTCTACATGTGACCTTTTGGTGATCCTGGGAGAATGAAATTAACCTCGTCAGGAACAAACATCCAGCCTTTTTATTTTTTCCACTTTCTTGGAAGAGTAATAAATATAGTCAATGACTCTGGATTCTATTACTATGTAAGAGCTCTTTAAAAACATCTAACCATCTGCTTAATGGCCAGTAATATGTTTCTAATGGTCACTCTCAATAAGACACTTTTAGTTCACTGCTGTGTAATAGTCATCCAGCAGCCGAGAGGCTCTGAAAGTAATAGGATCAAAGGCCAGTTTCCAGCTCTGTAGCAGCTGCCCGGAGATAGTTCTAAAGAGAAAAATAGAGGTCTTCTGTGAGTTATATGTGCAAACTCTATCCAATGAGTGTGTGTTCTGTCCATAAGTAGTTCTGACTAGTACAAACTTAGAACTTTGAAATTTTGGGCATTTACGCATCCAGGTCAATTGCACCATGAGGTTAGTTTAATTAATATCTGTCCTTTCATTTAGGATGACATACTCTGAATTATTGTCACTAAGAATCCTGCATCTCTGGTCTGGGCCCAGCAGCTGGTGACAGCTTGGCAAATTATGAGATTCCTAGCTTAAAACAGACTAAATTGCAGACAAAACAAGCCATTAGCTGAGTAAATACTGTATTTCTGGTTGGCTTCTATAAGAAGGAGATTAGCATGAATGTTTAGTGTTCATAATTATTAGTAGAAGGCAAATAGTAGGCTCAGGCTGGCTGGAGATTGTTTCATTATACCCAGTTAACACCCACTTGATTATTCTTAATTACTTCTGCTTCATGACAGAAGAGTAAAGATGGCATACTTCAAATGTACAAATAACAACTGGGTCATCAATATACACATATTTGTATTGTCAGATCCTGCTCATTTTGAGGCAACTATTTAATATGTCAGAGGGATGGAAAATGGAATGTCCACTTGTCAAGCTCGTATGAGGGAAATTAGCAAGATGCGGAAAAATAGATATTAGGATAAAAATGTGTTTATCCACAATCTGGTTTAGAAATATTTTCTTATTTATTTATTTATTTATTTTCATTTATTTTTCTTAGTTGGAGGCTAATTACTTTACAATATTGTAGTGGTTTTTGTCATACATTGACAAGAATCAGCCATGGATTTACATGTATTCCCCATCCCGATCCCCCCTCCCACCTCCCTCTCTACCTGATCCTTCTGGGTCAAGACAGTATGGTACTGGCACAAAGACAGAAATATAGATCAATGGAACAGAATAGAAAGCCCAGAGACAAATCCACGAACCTATGGACACCTTATCTTTGACAAAGGAGGCAAGGATATACAATGGAAATATTTTCTTTGAATACACCTTATTGCCTGTTTGAGAATTCCTTTTCATTTGTCTGCTCTAACTGTGGCACAGAAACTTAGGCTGCAAGCAGACAGATCAGGCATTACAGAGAGAAGTATCTGAATGTAAACTTGCTAGGAATGAATGGGCCATATATATGTCAAATGGCAGGAAATGGAAATCCCCACTCCTAGGGGGTTTATGGAAGTTTGAGAAGATGACACAAAATCAGCCTCTGTCCAAGAAAGTTAATGACTAATTTGGTAAAGAATATGAAACACTAGCAAGTGATATAATCGCAGAAGCACATACAAGGGGAGAACTCAACGAGCTAGATTTTCTTAGTTTTAAACCTGAAGTGAAGACTACCGTTAGTAACAGTAGTAGTCACCTTTCATTTTCAGGCTTTTGGGAAAAAATGAATATATCCTTCCCCTTCAGTTATTTTCTTGGGTTGACAAGAGTTGCTGTTGTAGCATACATGGGGAGAATTCTTTGCTTTTCTGAGTAGAGAACACTGCTTTTACAGTGTTGAGTTGCCTCTCTTTCTTGCTTATGGTGTCCATGATCTTGGACTGGAAACATTTGGATTGTTATTGTTTTCCTGGATCAAATTTAGATATTCAGTCATTCTTAAGTAAAGAAGGAGAGAACTTGGCAAGCAGCAGAGAATGGTGAGGCCTGGTGATTGTTTCAGGGCATTCTTGGAACTGGCAACTTGCTTGAAGATCAGAGATGAATGCGCAGTGGCAGCAGGTTGGTACCAAACAAATCCCCTGTCAGCTCTGGAAGTCAATCCATAGTCAGTACTGTGTACTTGTTCATACACAGCATCAAAACATGCACAGCATCGAAACAGACACATGGACAGGTGTGGAATGGACGGAGTCCTCTCCAGTTGGGGAGACAAGGCCTTCCTATTCCATGGTTATGTTTACTTAACTACTCAATTGCATGGTTAAAACTAAAGGCTGTAGAGGTTCAACAAAGAGGGCTTGGCAAAAATTGTTAAGACCAATACTTGAAGACTGAGACCTAAAGGGCAAATCGTCTTTAGCTAGTTGGGGTATGTTCCAGTTGTTGGTGGTTCTAAGACTAGTTGGAGAAAAACCTGTTCCAGGTAAGCAGAAACATGACCCTTTTGCTTTGTGATGCAGGCTGTCCTGGACCATGCTCAGGTCCAGGGACCAGCGACTTTGGTACATCTGATAGAAAACATGGGGCTGAATCCCAGAATGAAAGGCCATCTCAAGGAGAAGGCCCCAAGAAGATAGAGTTAATGAAGATTCCCTGGAATCTATTTCCATTATGAGGGAAGAGACATTAAGCTATCTGTTAAAGTCAAAAATTCATAAGTATATTTAAAGATTTAAGGCTAAAATGGAATATCTTAGGCAGTCATTTGAAGTCTATATATATGTGGCAGCTGATATTTAAAAGGCACACAAAACATTTAAAAATGACCTCGAGAATAGTGTACCCTCCCCTGAATAATAAAAGGGTAATATCAGGGAATGGAGTGGTGTCAGAGTATAATCGATTCCAGCTTGACAAATGATGGTAGGGACCATCTTTGCTGGTGATATGAGAATCCAATGCCAGTGTCCCCCTGAGTGGACAGAAGGGGTTGGGCAGTTTGTGTGAGTCATGAAATAGTTAAAATCTTGGTAGTTTTGTATTCGTGTGTTTTGTGCGTGTGTCGTGTGTGTGTGTGTGTGTGTGTGTGTGTGTGTGTGTGTGTGTGCTGGTGGTGGTTATGGTGAAGGTGGTCTGCAGAATACTTCACAGGATGCAGCAAGATTGATACAGTGTACACAGGTAGTGTAATAGAGCATGACAGTGTGTAGCCCGTAACACGTGGCTGTGGGCGTGCATCATTACCCCCTGCCCAATGGTTACCTGGGATCATTAGAGGTCTGGCTCAGCCATTGGTCATTGCCACAGTGGACCCTTCACCCACCTGAGTGAAGCAACTGTTGACCATCAGTGGGTAGTGGTCCCCCTCAGACATCAGTTGGCACCACAGTGGACCCCTCCCCCAAGTGAGCAAGCAACAGTCAATGAATGACTGTTAGAGGTCCATTCAGTCATTGGTCAGCCTTGCAGTGGGCCCCACCCAAGTGACCAACTGTCATTGTGTGACCATTAGTGGGCCCGTTCACCTAACAGCCAGTGGAGTGGTGGTCATCAGGTGAGAATGAGATAAGAGTCATCCCGGCCTTCTCCCTGGGGCTCTCCTGCTCATCCAGCCTTGCTCCAGTGGATGAAGCAGTGGTGGCTTCAGTGGTGACCAGGCCTTGAAGCAGCAGTGAACCTCTCCCCATCTCTGTGTCTGTGGCCTAATGGCAGCAGCTGTCTGCCTGGGATGCAGTCTGCGGGACCTGGCCCCTGCATTTTGGGCAGCCTGAGGGACACTTGGGTCCTGGGCGCCTGGCTCCCCCAGAGATGACAGCTGAGCAGAGTCTGGGGACTGGGCCCCGAGGGAGCTGACAACTGAAAGCTGCCTCCTCTTAGCCAGGACCTGAACTCAGAGGGTGGAAGTTGTGCCTTGGGGCCCTGCCCATTCTTGTCAGAACAGAGAGTAACATTTGTTTCCTGGAGATTTACAGGAATATCGTTACCTGACCTTGACCTGACACCAAGAACAAAGGATCTCAGGCCAAGGAGTTTGCAGCAACTAACCAACCATGCCCCTCCTTCACCTTTCCTAGAAAAAGGGCTTTGTTGAGAGCTTTTGGGGAGTTTGAGGTGATGCTATAGACTTCACTGTACATTACTGGATCATGTTTGGCTTTAGTTCTGTCTTTGGTTAACTGACCAGTCCGTCCTTCCATGTCTTTCTTTTTCTCTAACTTGGGGATATTTGGGCTTCTCAGGTGGTGCTAGTGGTAAAAAGCCTGCCTGCCAATGCAGGAGACATAAGAGACAGGGGTTTGACCCCTGGGTTGGGAATGTCCTCAGGAGGAGGGCATGGCAACCCACTCCAGTATTCTTACCTGGAAAATCCCATGGACATAGGAGCCTGGTGGGCTACAGTCTATAGGGTTTCAATCAGCTGGACATAACAAAATTGACTGACTGTGTACACACACACACACACATGCACACACTCATGCACCATCCAAGGCTTTTAGGATTATGAAAGAAGATAAGGCAAGTGAAAGTATTTTGAAATGATAAAGCTCTGCACCAGTGCTTGGCAATAGTAATTGCCCTTTATAATCACCTAAGGAGCTTGAAACAAAATGCTGGTGCCTAGACTCCACCCACTCCTGCTTTAAATGGTCTTGGGTGGGCCGGCCATTGGTACTTAAACTCTTTTGAATTCCGATGGGCAGAAGGATAATCAAATGATGATTCTAATCTTAATTGTTACTGTTCTCTCAGCTTCTGTTCTGGAGCCTTGAGAAGGGCTGGTGTGGGTGGCAGGATGAAGGGTCAGTTCCACTGATTGCTCCTCTGTGGATGTGGACCAGTGTGTCCTGTTTCTCCAGAAATGCCCCTGCTGGGAACATTTTACTTGCGTGTTTGACCTATCATCCTTAAGTCTTGTGAGTGCTTGTTCATGTCCATGTACAGGTTGGACACTTGAAGGGCAAGGCCTGCTTTTCTCTTCCTGTCTGGTACAGCCAGCACCTCAACCAAGCAGGGAGGATGTGTGTGAAGCAAGATCATGGGACTGAGGAGCAGGAGATGTGGGTTAGATGTCAACACCTTCCCATTGGTCTTAGCTGTCTACATTTCCTGTATCATAGAATTTGTACTGTGGCAGTACTTTACTAACTAACCTTTTAAAGCAATAAGAGTATACAATCATGCTTGATTAATTTTGAGTGGTAGAATCATGTAATGAAAGAATACTGACTTTGATGTCAAGAGTTTACCTGAAATAGAGGCACAGCCTCTTAATGTAAGAGCAGTTAATATTTGGCATGTGCTGACTATATAAGTATTCATTTATACCTTCAACAAATTATTTCCTGCATGTCTGTATGTTATAGGTGTTCAGAAATAGCAGTGGCTGAAACAAACAAAAAAACTCAAGTGTCAAATGTGTTTTCAGGGAGCTGACATTGTCCTGTATGATGTAGAGGGAGAGACAATAAACATGCATGTCTATGTCAGGAACTAGTAAATAGAATGAAGACAAATAGAGCTTGAGGGGAGAGGTAGAGAATGAGGAAGTGTGGGATGTGATTCATAAATGGAGGTCTGAGATAGCCTCTCCGATGAATGGTGGTGCAGGGAGGAGGTGAAGGGATGAGTGATCTGGATGTTCGTAGAGGTAACAGCACTTGCTAAGACTGGAGGCAGGAGCTTGCTTGGCACCTGCCATTTGGCATGGAGGCCATGGGGAGAGGCAGGTAAATGAGGGGAACACCATAGCAGGTGAGGTCAGGAGCTGTTTCAGAGGCTAGGTCACAGAAGGCCTTATAGACTCTGGTCAGTTAGGTTTTTGGGTTTTATTCTGTATTAGAAGGGAAGCTATTGAAGGCTTTGAATATAATTTGACTTGAATTTAAGCCAAATTGTTCACTATGGTGGTGGTGTTTTAGGAAACCAGAGAATATAAAGTGGAACAAGGGTGATCAATAAGGATGCCGTCATGACAGTTCAGATAGGTGTGGATTAGAGTTAATTACTGTGAGGGTGGTGAGGCCTGGGTCACATCCTGGATATTTAGAAGGAAGGGTCTAAAGGATTTGCTGATTTGAAATGCCGTGTAAGAGGCAGAGAGTTACAATAGGAAGAACAGAAGTGCCATTTGTTGTCATGAGGGAGTGGACTTGAGCTAATCACTTGTTAGGTTTTGGACTTGTTAAATTTGAGATGCCTGTTAGCCATCCAAATGGAGGTGTCAAGAAGGTTACCGAATTGGGAGAAGTCAAGGCTGGGAATAGAACTTTGAGAGTTTCTGTCAGTCTGTAGGTGATACTTAAACTCACAGGGTGGATGAGATCACTTTATTCTGCACCAGACATATGGAATGAATGAGCATGACAGTGGTGATCAATGGTTTTTTTGTGATCATTGTGGTATTACTAGAACTTAATCAGCTCTGTTCTTTGATTCTATATAGCGCAGTCACTCATCATCTTCTCTGTCTACTCTGAATCTGAGTGCATTTTCATGTCCATCAGTGGCAGCAAAGTGAAGAAAATGTTATTGACTGAACTCATGTGGGCTTCTGTCTGTTCAAGTTCCAGCGCACATCAGGGGAACTCTTCCTCCTTGCTGGCCCAGAAGAACTTGTCACCTTGAGCTGGCTTAGCCCAGAGAGCTGTGGTTTGGGGTGGGAGGGAGAGGGGTCGCTAATCTTGACCAACTCTCCAGGACTTCAGTGCAAAGCAGGATAGATAAGATATTCCAACTCATTACTTACAGGTGTTCTTTAAGGGAGTGCTTAGGAAGTTTTACTCAATTTAACTTAAGACATAAGTAATGCCATTCCCAATTCAGGGCAATGGCTTAGAACCTGACTCAATGTCCTTTTTACTAAGTAATTATCCAGATTTCCTTACTAAATGTTATTTTATGTATTATGTTTAATAGCCTCTTTCTTTTGGCTATGGAAGGATGGTAATAGCAGCTGATAATGGATCACATACTCATCTTATAGCGCTGCCTCTGGCACCTGTGGCCAGTGCAGAGGGAAGCTTCCAGTCAGGGCTCAGATCCATCCCATGGCCCTACTCACTGGTCCTTTGCTTTTCAGGGGTCTAAGGGATCACAGATAGCTTTGTAACTTTTAAATCATGGGTCATTGTTAAAGATTCAGGGAAGCCTAAGGAGCACGTCTGGCCAGACTTCTCATTGGCTTCATTTCAGAGGCCCCTCTGGAGAACTATGGCTGATGGAGAGGTAAAGCCCTAGCTAGGAGGAACCAAGTGGCAGAAACCTTCAGATGATGGTTAAGACATCACAGATGCCTGACACAAATTAAGAACCACTGTCATTGTGCCCTCAAGGTAGCCAGTTCCTTTCAGGATCTTGATCGTTGATTCTCAGGAAAGGTTTGTTGGATTGTACTCAGATTGTCACAACTATGTTACTGATGTTGTTTGTATGGTGTTCTGTGAGACAGCTTGTACACTGACTTCTAAGTGATGACCTAGTTATGCAAACAGTCTTCCGATAACTACTGAGCACCTACTTTTTCCTGATTGTATCCCCAGATAGTTACTGTGGGCTCAGTGCGTGCTGGCCATCACTGAGACAATACCAGAATTGTGTCATTCATCTCCATCTTGCGTGAAATTATGTTCTCTGGAGAGTCAAGATGAAAACCCATATCAAAAATATATATGATGACCTAAGAATGGGGTACAACATTGGTCCAGGTGTTTATAAAATGCTAGACTTATTTCTTGCCCTCAGAGTTCCTGCTCTAGTTGGGAGGCAGGGTATGCCATATGAAATGTCAAATTGCAAAATAATGCTTAGTGTTCGTTCGTCGGAAAGTAGGAGACATGATAGAGCTTCCAGGCACCATAATGATGTGTGAACCTTTTGGCTACATATCAGAATAACCTGGGCAGCATTTAAAAATGAGGACATCTAGGCCCCAGTCCAGGCCCAGCAGGCATCTGTATGTTTAAAATTTTCCCTGATTTTGATTGTGTTGCATAATGCAGCATGAAAACCACTGTTCTGTAAGAACAGGTAGAATTTAGGTGTTGTTGGGAGCAGCCTGGAATGATAAAGATGCAGGCTCAGGAGGAGTGCAGCAAGACTCCCTGGTACAGTGATTGTCGTCCCTTGCCCTGGATGGCTTGTTTGGAGGAAGAATCAAAATGCAGGGGGAAAGGAAAAGCTTTCAGAAGAGTTTAAAGTCCTGGAGAGGAGATTGGACTTTATCCTGAAAGCTACAGAAGAAGTCCTGTGGTCACCACCATACTTTATGTGACCTCATTTTCAGATAGTGAGTATTTGGACTTTTTATCACTAATGACATGCAACTTTTGAACCAATGAGAAACTTGAGGAAAGTGTTTTAAGCTGAATTGTCAGGTACTGCGGAGAAGGCAA